ACGCTCGGTCACACAGACAGATGGACGGATGGAGGGACGGAGGGCCAGTGCAGCAGCCCGAACTCTCCTTCAGCTTGTTTTCTTCTGGAGCCTCTGCTTTTGAGGAGGCCCAACCACAGCTGCAGAAATCTCCACTCGACACTTTTCACTGTGCAAAGGAAGCGGAAGGGATCCGAGGAGGCCCCAGCCGTGAGGGAACTCTTTCCACTGGGGAATTCCTGTCAGGTATTGTTCCTGAGGCCGGTGGTTTCTTTCAAGTGACCAAAGCGAGAGCCTGAGTCTCCCGCCACCTTCAAACACATGCGTGTGTGAATGGAATCGCCAAGTGGGTTCATGGGGCAAGCAGCGGCAGAATGCCGTAGAGGCCGATGCTGTGCAGCAGGACGGAGCGTGGCCTCAGCTTCCCATGTTGGCTGGCCCGGAGAGGGCTTCTCATGGCCCTCCCCACCCTGATCCTTTTTTTTCTTTCTTTTTTGGGCTGCTTATGAATCCTGTGTAGTTTTTGCCCTAAAAGGCGTCTGGCTTCCTTTATCCTTAGAGGGCCCCCAGAAGTCTCTTAATGTTCTCCTCCTAAAGATTTAGCAAGATGGAGGGCAAGGCATGCAGTTCTTGGCGATGAGGAGGGGAGAGGAAAGAGCCTTCCTGGAGCAACTTTTGAGTTGCCCGTCTTGAACGTGGTGCCCATGGCCGTGGCCACGTGGAACGAAACAGGGCCTGGGCAGGTCTAAGGGGGAAACCCTGGTGGAGGTGGGGTGGGGATGTTCCTTTTGGTTCCCCTGATCCCCCACCCACCCCATTTGCTAGAATTCTCATGTCATAGAAAAAGAAACCAGTCCTTGTGGTGAAGATGCCCCCAAATCATGCCCTTTGAGCAGCCAGTTTCTTCCCCCCCCGTCACCACTAGTGGGTTCCAGATGGATGGGAGATGCCAGAGGTGGCAATGGGCAGATGTGGGTCTCCTTTGATTAGGATCCCAGCGTCCTGCATAGGTATATCGAGACAAGAGACCAGCTTCTCCATAGACATAGGTCCCTACATAACCATGGCATTATACTGAATCATTTCCTGTTTCCTTCCTAGTGGTTTTCTTTTAAAGGGATAAAAACACAAACAGCAAGAACAAAATGGCAACAAGTATTATGGGAAAACTTGTGGGTTTCTTTAGAACTGCGTCTCCTTTGGGGAACAAAGCAGCCCCACCCAGGGATGAGAACAAACCCCTCAACTGCCCCATGAGAGAAATGGGGAGAAAGAGGAGGGGGAGGGCTTAACCGATGATAACTACAATAAATGTACCAAGAAGCACTTGGCCGGCTGTTTTGTTCATGCTCTTTCCTGCTTTTCCCATCTGGCACCGTTCTCCCTGTCCAGGAATCGGGGCCCAGACCTTGCTGAGCTTTCCTCAGTGTTGGTGTTGCAGCGCTGCCTTTGGAAGGGCAGGGGGGTCGCCTCGACAGCAGCCTCTGTCACCCCAGGCAGCTGCCTCGCCTCCAGGGAAAAATGTCTCTGAAGATACAGTGGCTTGGATCAGGCCGTTTCAACAAACAGGGAGAAGGGCTAGAAGGGCTTTTTGCAAAGCACCTGGCTGTTCTCTGCTCTCCGAAGACCAGACCCCCCCCCAGACCATTTGCATTGCAACAGAGATGCCTAGCAATGACACAGCAATCTTGGGAGATCCAGGAACTTGTAAGGATTGCAGCTACACTGCAGAGGTGCACACGCCTGTGTGTGCTGAGCATGATGCCACTGCCCCGGCTAAGCTAAGCCGAAAGCCCCAGGGCTTCCTCCTGCCACTGCTGGCTGTCCTACAGCCTGCCCCCAAGTGTCTGGTGCTGCACTTCCCCTCTTGTGTGAATGCAGCCCTTGCAGACTTCACAAGTGGGCTGCTCTGCAGGAGAGAGTGGGTGGCAGGCTGGCCCAGAAGGATTGACACCCTCAGCCCTAGACTCTGTCAGGGGTTGGTGGGCAGGATAGGTGGGGACAGGGGAGCCCCACCCACCCCAAGGCAGGACTCTGAAGACCCCGCAAAAGGCACAACAGGTCCAGCCCAAAGTTGAAACTGGCTTGTATTTATAATTGGGCAAACGGGTCATCCAAGCTCAGAGTCTCTTCAGGGCTGTTTTCCGCATGGTTGTCTGGCGCGATCCTTTCCCACAAGCTATTCTGACATGAACCCAGGTGGCCTCCCATCCACAGGCTAGCCAGACCTGACTGCTCCGCTTCTCACCTCAGGTGGGAATGTGGCTTGTTCAGGCTGGTCTGGCTGCCTCTCGGAGCTCTGCATCAGGGATCTGAAGTGCTGCTAAGGAGGTACCGAGGAGAGGCGGTCAGGCTGATGGCCAGGCACCTTTCTGGCCTGGTTTCAAGTGATGAGAGAAGGCAGGCTGGAGGAGAGAGGGGGAGGGGGAGGAGGAGGAGGAAGGGCCTTCTGCCCTGGCCTTCCTCTTGGGTGGCCACTGGGGTGGCTGCCAGAGGACATGTCTTGTTTGGGGGGGGGGCTTCAAGATTCCCATGGAGAAGCTGGATGCTTCGAAGAGGCCACGTCGGGCACTACAGTCTTTTCTGACAGTTTAGACATTGGCTTCCAAGCCAGGGCAGCTAGCGTTTCAAGACAGGGCCAGCAGCTCTGGGCTCATGTGAAAATGGGGCTTTTGAGAAATGCCAACCTGAAGATGCCTTCGGTCTCTGGGAAGAGGGAAGCCTGTGTCGTAGGGCTGCAGGTGCGTCACCTCCCACCTGCTGGCTGCGCCACCCTCCAACCCTCCCATGCCACGCTGAGTGAGAGAGGGGGGCACGTGCAGCAGAGAAAGTGGATGACTGCTTGTGCCGAGAGGGGAATGCAACTGCCAGGTGTGCCTGCTTGTTCAGGTGAGTGATTGCAGGGGGCTTGGCGGAAGAACCGGAGTGCGTCTGAGAAATCACCAGGCCCATTATGCACGCACTCGGCTGCTGCCTCTCAAAATGGGGAAGGAAATAGATACAATCTCCGGAGGGCAATGAAATTGAAAGATTCTGATGTGCCTAGCAAACAAACACAACTCCATAAAATTGCCCATTGCTTTTTCCTTTATGATAATTGTCTTTTTTCCCACCTGTTCCACCTGCAGGTGAGAATCGGGAGGGGAGAGACAAGGCTTCTGCCAGGGGTTCTGAGGGGGGGGGAGTTACATTTGGGCTGAAGAGGATCCCCAACTCCGCTGGGGGATGGAGGGCCAAATTGTGAGTCAGCCACAATAGGAGGGGCAGGGCTCTGTGGCTGCCTCAAACTGTTGCACAGGATCCAGAGAGAAATGGGGTGCAAGGGGAGCCAGAATTTTTGGGTCAGCCATTTAGGGCTGCTGGTTATTTTCCAAACTACAGGGTTGGCTGAGTGGCTGCATTTCAAAGAGACAATTTGTGCCACCCAGATGTAAAGCAACTGGACTGGAAGAGTTGTCGGCTATGGTGGATCTTCAGAGAATCAAGGTAGCATGGACTGGGCATCTTCCATGAGCTCACCAGTTTTTGCTGGGATCCTTTGACAGTCCCCTTCCCCCAATAAATGGTGAGGAGGGAAACTGCTCTTTCTAGTCACGCTTGTTTGATGGCTTCATGGAATAATATTTGTAAATTAAGGTATTCCTTTTTTTAAAAAAAACACCAACCTTGCCCCCCCCCCCAAATTAGGCAACTTTTCAAATCCTGAGGCTCATATAAAGAGAAAGGATTTTGAAATGGCAGTCCAGAGCATCCTGGAAGGAAGTGGGTGGCCTCCCATGGCCCACCTATGGCCCGAAAGGTCAATGGCCAGCATCTTCATCTCAGTCAGGGCCTGGCCAAGGACACTGGACTGTTCAACAGCCACAGGCTCAGCACCAGCGTTCAGCTCTTTTGAAACGGCCTTCACTCCTGCAGCTCCTGCTTCTCCTTTTCTTCAACCATCTCATGATGGGGAGGGGGCCTTCGCAACACCAAGAAACTGGCTTTGATTCTCTGTTTACAAATCCTTCAGAATAATTAAGAACACTTACATTCCAAAAGGCCTCCTGCTTGGTGCAATTTCTCTTTGGAATTCATTAAGAACCTTGTGTGTATTTATTTTGTGCCTTTATTTGCTACAAGTCGAAGTCTGCATTTTTTTTGAAAGCCTGTAACTAAGCTCTGATTGTTTCAGCCTGGAGATGGGTGAGCACTGCAGAGCCTCCACGGGCACAGAGGAGGCACCCTGAACAGAGCCGGGACACTTCTCGGGCAACTCAGGCCCACAGCCACAATTAGTGAATTGATGCTGATTTTTGTGGCAGCCAGTGTAGGGAATGCAGAGGCTGGCAAGTTTCTCCACTCCATTTTGTCATGGTAGCAGTATGGCAAAGGAAGATGTTTGGTCCTCCTGCTACACTCAGATGCATAGTTAACGTCCATGACCAGACCATTTTTTTTTTTTTTTGAGGAATCGGTGGTAAAAATCCATCAAGTCCATGAGGATCTGTGCCGTTTATCCCTGCTTGCGTGCTGTGGAAGTGCAATGGAGTGTGAGATTTGTGAGCTTTATCATTTGGTCCATGGCGTGACAGTGGGATTTCACTGTTGGGGCAGTTCCGTTTGCAGAGAGCCCCCCCCCTTCCGCTGTTCCTCTCTTGAGGACTTGCAGATGAACGAAAGGCTTCCGTCCAGAGGGTGGAGAAGTCCAGAGGGCAGGACGAGGGCCATGGG